ATATATATGTATGTATGCATGTATGTATATATACACATATACATATATCTATACATACACATATGCACATACCATTCAGTCAGTGCCCGAACAGAAAACCCAGGATGTAAACACCTGTTTGTGTGCGGTTGTGAGCATGCATGTATTTACAAGATCTCTCCAATGGAATGTTTCAAAATGACTGTGGGGGGACCACAGACCCGACCCGCAAAGCCGGAAGCCGACATATGGGAGACCAGCGTCAAAGACCCCGAGAGGGACCCCAAGCACCCAGCCCCAGAGACACCCGCGCCGGAACGGCCGCCAACCCACCCCACAAAGAGGACCACCGGAGAGAACCGGAAGAGCCCCACCAGTGACCACATACAGCAACCCCTGGGGCCAGCAGCGATGAACTCACAGGCCCCGCCGGTACCCACCGCGCCAGAGTGGATCCAGGCATGGACACAGAGGCCTGGGCCCCCAGGGTGCCCCCACCCCACCTCCCCAGGCCAAGGCCCGACAGGGCCAGAGGTACCCAAGCCCCACTGGGCAGTCACCGGGCCGAGCCGGCACACGCCCAAGCACCCAGCCCCCACCAGTGAGCCGGCGGGCAAAGGCACAACCCACCAGAGGACAGCACGGCTGGGGAGAATCACTTTGTCAACTGGTTTGTTCATTTTTCAGTTGGGCAGACGAGGCTGCTGGTCGACACTGCAACTTCCATGAAAGGAGGAGTGTGTGTAGGGATGGGTACCTCTGGCATTTGAATCAATTTGGTACCAATATCCGGTACCTGGGAATCGGTACCGGTACTTAACGGTACCAATTTTCGGTACTTTTTGTGTGTGTGTGTGTGTACGTGTGTGTGTATGTGTGTGTGTTTTAATAATAAACATTTTTTTTACATATTTCTCAACATGTAAAATTAACAAATATCAAGACAACATCCAACTCTTTGTATTGTAACATCAGTTGTGTAACTTGTGTCTTTAAGGTGAAAACTGTTGAAAACAACAAGACTGTTTTGTCTTGTTGCACAAATTAAAATCCAGCTCCACGTCTTTCTATTGGTGTCATTTCCCTGCTAGGAAAATATGTKRTGGAGGTCCATGGAGGGCAAATAGGTTTAAATCAAATAAGTAAAAGAGGATGAAGTTAAAATAAATAAAAGGTATTCAAGCTAAGTTTTGAGCATCTAAAACGTGCCCAGCGCTTCAAGCTGGCTGCTTGTRCTCTTTCAGGTCAGACGTGTTTARACTGTCGGGAAGCTCCTCTGTTGGTCTCTGTTTAATGGTGGATGAAATAAAGAAAGTGGTGGTACTTTATTTACTTTGAGCAAGTGAAYGTCATGTTCACAAGATAATTAATCCAACAGATAATTCAGAGGCGGTCTGTTCTGCGAGTTTTACTCCAGGAGCTGCGCGCTGTGAGGCTCGCTTAGCGAGTTACTTTCAAGCTAGTTCTTAGCTCTTCTGTTTACCAGTGGCTGGTGATGTCATTACGCTCTTCAGTGTTTCCCCTAGGAAATTGGTCTTTTGGGGGGGCTTGTTTTATAAAAATATAGATTTACGTGACTCACCTGCAATTATGGTAATAAATTTACACATACATGAATATTTAATTGCCTAACTACATCCTAGTTAAGGACTCCTCATGATAATTATCAGTAAAATGATTATTGATAATAAATGATCAGAACTGTGTGCAGCAGATGATCTGAGTCCAGAGTTSTCAGTTTGAAACCTTCTGGAGCTCTTCTGTGTGACTCTAGGTGTGACAGAGTGTGGATGGTTGATTGTCTCTTT